TGTAAAACTAAGAAATTTCTTTAATAAAATATATTTTTTACATTTTTAAATAAACATTTTTCAAGAATCATTACCGTCATTGGATTTTCTATACATTAAATTAAATAGAAATGAAAAAAACGATAACAGTAATCTGCAACCTATGCTTTTATTATAAACTTTCAATTAAATCTACTATTCTACCCAATTCTTAATAATATGATAAAATTTTGTGTAATAATTTAAACAAATATTATGAAACTATCTGTAATAATTTTTGCAAGAAAATTCAAATCAGAGAATTGTAAATGCTAAAATCGTTAAAATTTCATTTATATACCTTAATAAAAAAAATTATTTAACTGATTAAATATTTAAATTTCACATTCTTGTTGGTAACCTGGTGGGAGAACTTTGCTGCTTATCTCAAGAAGATATTCTTCAGTCTATGAAAAAGTATTTATGTTAATAATATAGTTAAAATAATAATCATGATAATAATAGTAATCATAATTCTACTTACTGGAATGTGATTAGGGCACCAGATTTCATAATGTATTCCACCAACAGCGTCTTGACGTTCATATAACGCACAATCGATGTCAATAGAACATAATATATGATATGATCTATTGCAATTGGGATATGGACATTGGGTACAACTTCCAGAAGGAATGCTACAAACCTCGCATTTCTAATAAAGAAAAAAAATAGAATTTTAAACCGCATTAAGTTACATCAATTTTTTTTATGAATGAAAAAAGATTTTAATACTTACCAAATCTTTATATTTTTTATAATATGGAGCATCCCTGTAGTCAGTCGCCACTTCATTGTTATCATAATTTTCGTTAGCAGAAATAAACATTCCCGGAACAAACAATGCACAAAATCTGGATCAAAAGAAAAAAAAAAAAATATTACATCCATATAGAAAGAATAAAAATAAAAATCTGTTGTTTTATTTATCTTCCAATGCACTTACCGATGGATTAAATGGTATTCTTTGTTGTGTACCATTTCAAACCTTTCGTCCATGATATCAGATTTTACAC